GTGTGTGTGTGTGTGAAAGGTCCATAGTCCCAATGAGCCTGTTATCATACATGCACTTGCAAATAGAAGGTCAACTGCACACCCAAAAAAAAATAGACAACACGCATGTTTGAAAGTAAAACAACTTATTAACAACAGAGCTTCACACACATTGTAATGATGAAGTGATGTGTGTGTGTGTCTGGCCTCTGAAGAAGGGTCCTGTCACGCAAACAGTGAATACCATGTCCTTTTGATTTCCTTTCTTTCTCTCCTTCTCTCTCACACGCTAACTCTCTCTGTTTCTGTCTCTCAAAGGGAATTCCCAGGAAATGGTTATGTTGGTGATTAAGTGTGTGAACACTCAAAACCATTCGCATGCTTTCTCCATGTCTATGTTTCAACCGCCCCTTGCTGTTTCCAACTAAAATCAACAAATGAATTGATAGGGAGAGAAAGAGAGGGAGAACACTTCGGGGAGAGGAGGGATGTGGCGGATATGAGTGAGAAAAAAGTTAAAAAATGCCAGTGTTGTGGGACTAGATATCAAAGATGCTTCATTGTTAAACATAAGTGCTTACAGTCCTCAATCAAGTCTATATTAAAATCTAGAACTCCTTTTTAAACCTGGAAGCCAAATAAAGTTGTGTAAAAAGAGCTCTTCCAACGTTTATATAACCCAAGTTGAGTTATTCAACCCATTTTGTAATCCTGCTTCATGAGATATATTTAATGCAACAGCAATGCTTCTACTTGTCCTGACAAGAAACTCAGTGAGTAAACTGTATATCCTTCTGTTTTGTCCCATAAGGCCATCTTGCAAATTTCCTGCCAAATCCGTAATATAAACGCTGTGTTAAGTTGTTGTAAGTAAGTTGTAGAGTAAGACTGAGAATTATTATTTTATTATTTAAGTCAGTAATAAGTAAGGTGGTAATACGGTGACAACTGCACATCAAGGTAGTGTTGAAACAATCACTTATTTGATTCACAGAAAATTAACTGTGAACCTGTTTAATTGTTAATCATTTAAGTTGTTAAGGTAAAATGCTTAATGTTTGTAAATGTGAGGATTTGCAGTTGTTCTCTCTCATTACAAACTGAATATCTTTTGAGTGTTGGACTATGAGTCAACTTGAACATGTCACCGTCAGCTCTGGGAAATTGTTTGCATTGCATTTTTTCTCCAATTTTTATGGACATTAATAAAAGTAACTGCAGTTGCAGCCCCACAGTGCAGTTATCCAACCAACATTACAGTTGTAATCCTGTTTAGTGAGACACACCTTCTAATAATCCTGTTTTCTGTTGTCACAAAATAGCCAAATCAATAATATAGATGGAGTGTAAAAGCAAGACTGTCAGTCTTCTTGATAATCACCTTATATGCTCACTTTTGTCATAAACCTATCCCAAAATCAATCCATTAATGATGTATAGCTCCTGGGCTGCGTCTAAACACCTAAGGACACCAATATCTAAAAAAAGAGAAAATAAGCTGTGCAGCTAAATGTTTCATTTTATTTTGTATTATGTTTAACCCTTATTTAATCACAAAGTCTCTTGAGACGAGAGAAACAAGATAAACCTAGCCAAAATGGCAGTTAACACAGATTTACATAAAAAAAAAACTCTCACATAGCGATAGCATAAAAGCACAAGAGGCATAAAGGAGAGAGCTCGGCTCTTTAACACAGTTGAATTCTTCATGAAACCTTTTCTTAATATGGCATTTGAATGCCTGGTATGAAGACAGTGTTTCCAAATCTTGTAAATTATTCTGTAGCCAGGGTACGTAGCACGAAAATGCAGGTTTTACAAGTTCTCTGGGGACACTGAAGGTCATCCATTTCTAATTTAAGCACGAGTCAATCTGGATTTGTTGTGCAGAAAACAAAGGAAATGTACCCAAATTGTGTCACAGAAATAATTAAACTCCCAGAAGCAATTGGTTTTGTTCCCACAATGAGTTGCTTAGAATGTATTAAGGTTAATATTTAAGATGTATGGATAACCTGGACATATAATAAATCTAATAAAAGAGCTGCTCAGTGTCAGAGCAGTGTTTTTAAGGTGTTCTCGTGGAGCTCAGGAATAATGGTCCACTGGGGACACTTGGTTTATTTTAGTGTCTGTCTGTGTTCTAACAGGGAAGTTGACCAATGGGCCGGTGTCCCAAAACTTGGTGTATTCCTTTAAGGAGTTAGCAAAGTGAGAGAAGAATTAGGACACACACACACACACACACACACACACACACACACACACACACACACACACACACACACTCACATCTCTCACACGCACACACACACAGAGAAAGTGCCTGAGGGCAGTGCAGTGTGTTTACATGAAAACCCCACTTTTGACCCCATCCCACTCTTTTCACCCCCCTTCCCCATCACCATGTCCTCTCTCCACATGGCTCCTTCTTCTATCTTCTTTGCATCCCTTTTTTCTTCTTTTTCTTTCTTTACTTTCCAATCCTATACTCATCTGTCACTGAGCCTCTAGTGTCTTCTACTGTAGGCCCATCAAATCACACACACACACACA